TAAGTTTCTATAAAATGTTTAGTATATGTAGTTTTAATTCATTTAGATGCTATGAATATGGCTTGAGGACTGCCACATTAATAAGCAAATAATCAATATTTTTGTCAAAAATTACTTTTGATTTTTATTAAATTACTTCAGACATAACCATTGCCAAATGCCAGAAATTGACCTATCATTCCTTAGTTTATTAACTAAATATTAAGTTGGTAAGAAAGTGTAAAATTGGCACATTACCCACTAGACTTACTTTTGACAGTTTTCTGACTCCCAAACTGCAAATACTTCTTATAATTTCTAAGTATTACTTCTAGACACTTCTAATATCATTTTTCAAAAATTAGGTTTGGTAATGTCCCTGACACTACAAATATCTACCTGCATTTCCAGACACACTGAAAAACTAATGACATCTTTGTGATAAATAAAAGCATTTTAATATCAAAAATGCTTCAAAAATATCAGATACTTGAAAGGCTTACTTTTTTGTGTGTGATCTGTACATTATCTCCCTGAAATCAGAAGTATCAGTTGATCTCATTAACTCCATGTCCTAAAATAAAAAAAAATCCTCAAACACACTGTATACTCTAAGAATCATGGTTCTCAGAGCACTGAATATAAAATATAATACTGTGTGACACTTTAATATCAGGTTAGACTTATAAAAAGTGAATCAAACTGTGAATTGAAGAAATTGCTGTCATCACTGTATACAATACCTCAAATACTGGAATTCATTTCATATATTGTATATTATATCCAAAATATGCCCATTCCCATTTAAATAAAAGCATTACTATCATAAGAACAGCTTGAAAAATATAGTTTGCTGGATATAATTTTTCTATCCTTGTATTTGAATACACTATCAGGTTAATTCTGCATCACGTATGACCATAATAGGATTCTAGTTAGTATGTTATGCTCCATGTATGTATAATATACCAAAATGCACTCTATTGTCATGTATATCTAAAAAGAAGTTATAAAAAAAGAAAAATATGGTTTGCAAGAAAATTTTCTTTCCAATAGGGTGGATTTTCTTTTCAAAACCTTTTTTAATGAAAGGAAAGAAAAAAACAAAAAAGGAAAACTAGGTGGAACAATTATCTTCCCATTATCTGATTGTCTTTTATACTCCATTTCATATTTATGTGCACAAGTATGAAGAAAACACACATTTTTCAGGAAAAAAAAAGCAGTTCGAAGATTAAAGTATAGAGATTTTCTGGTTATGAATTCTTAATTGGTGACCAAATTCTTATAATATGGTATTAGAAATGGGAATTACAATCCTGATACTCCCACTATTTTATCTATTAAGATATGCCATACCTTCAACATAGACTACTCCAAAAATATTTTCTTAAAAATGTCATAAAAATTATTTAAAAATATGTAGTTCCAAGAAAGGACTGCTGTTGTTCATAAAATCCTGGAGACTATATGTTGTGGAAAACATTAGTACAGTTTCAATACTATATCACAGCTTAATTATTTTACTAATAAGCATAATATGATCTGCCATAATATAAACATGGAATAAATTCAATTGAGTTCTAAAATGTGCAAACAAACTCAACATATGCTATTTTCAAAGTTAAATTATGATAAGTACCTACCTAGATATTTGCATGTATTATCAGCTTTGTAAATGATAAAATGCAAAATTTATCAAAAGTTTTAAAAATCAGTATGCTCTGACTAAGCAATTCTGAGGATGTATTACAAATAATCAAAGGTACAGATTTTCAAGGATATATTCATACATTCAAGGCCTATCTACACAAACTAAGAATTGATTCATTACATGATTCATCTACAAATGATGGACTCTTAAAGATGGTATTAACTCTGCAATAGGCTACAAAATAAACTGCATAGTCACATTTTAAAAACGTCTAGTGATCATTTATAGATGAAAGGCTATTATACTACATCTTGGCCTTTTAACATTTCTAGCTTCTCTACAATGACACATACTACATATGATCTTTAAAAAGAACTAAAAAGGACAAGTGTGTTCTTTGTGGAAAAAAATATATTTGGGTTTAAATGAAGGCTAACACAATCTTCAAATACTCTAAAGGCATGAATATATACACATACATCTGCAAATATGTGTGTATATATAAAATGACTATACTGTTAAAATAATTTTACCAAGATTAACAAAAGTTCTCCATTTCACAACCGTTATCTCTTTAGATTTTTTTATTGAAACAGTGAGATGAAAATGCATTTTTGCAAGTTTTTATAAAATCCACTTGATAAAATTAAATATGAAATGAACATACTAAATGCTGGGAAAGTAGGCCAAATCAGATCAGAAGGGAAAAAACTTCAGGTGAAAATTCAGTTAGAGAAATTTGAAAGCTTTCAATGGCCTTGGGGATTGATACTTCACTTTTAGAAATCCATGGAATTCCTCCTTTGACATCATAATAGTATTTCTATACTTATCACTCCTAAATTGGTGGCCACAAATGAATAGAGAAAACTTCCACCAGTGAAGAGGCAGAAACTAGAGAGGAAAAGGGTAATGAAAATTTATGTATGCATATGTGAGAGGAGTTATTAAGCTATCAACACATCAGAACCAAAATTAAATTAAAAAAACAAGAATGAGGGGTGAAGAGGCAAGAGAAAATGTGGAGCCATTTCTTTGTACAGACAATTTTCAGAATTCTCAACTGATAATGCCCATTGGGTACATATCTTTCTAGTTTATAATAATATAGCTGATGCAAGATGTAGGACAATTCTAAACGTTAACAACTGTTTTTAGTAAGACTATTTTATTTTAAAATTTTTGAAATATAAAAATAATAAACATTATGGATATTTAACAAACAAAACATAATTCAACTATAAATAATAAAAATGTTGACAACCCCACATAAACCATGTAATACTATAAACATTCTAAGCATACAAGAGTAGTTTCTAGTTCAAGTTTTGCCTTTTTAAGTTCAAGTTTTATTATCACTTTAAAAATAAACAAAAAGCTGCTACAGCTTAACCAATTACTTTCGCTCCACTCAAAGAGCAGGGAATATTTTTCCCCATGCCAACACACATTCATGAAATGGGATACTTATGGGCACAGGTATTAAACACTGGAACAATCCAGTCTTCAGACAAGAAAAAACTCCTTTGGTGTTTTTAGATTCAGCAGTCCACAGAAACTAAGTTAAAACAAACCACTTTTTAAAGGAAATCTTGTGCCAGACAATATGTTCTGAAGTAGTACCACTCAAAACAAGTTCAGGATTCTGAGAATCAAAAGTAAACATATATGAATGCTTTGCTGATACTTAACAATAGTATCTTAAGAACATTCACTAAGGTGCTGGAATAAAATTTGGGGACAAAACAAAAACTCTACACATCAATGCAAAACTTGTACAATGTAATAATACATCTCTTAATAACTCATCAAGTATTCTGCAAATAGTCAAGAATTACTCTGCCTACTGTTGAGTGAAAGAAGGCAACTTGAAGCAGAGTAAGATTACATAATATTTTAGTACTAGAGAAGTTTTCCAATTGACGTATGAGAAAACAGCCATGCTGAATACATTTTTTTTAAGTTTTAGTCAAATTAATAACCTCTTATCAAAATAATCTTTTAGGGGAAGCTGGGCACAAATAAGTGTACAGTCATTCTGTACCATTTCCTTAAATTATGAGGTGTTTCAAACAGGCCTGGCTCTTTACTTGACTCAGCGTGAACCACTTTTATAATTATGCTGCTAGATTAGAATAAATCATAAGCAATCATAGATTAAAGCCTAGCAAAGTCTAGACAACAGGTTCAAAATGATTAATGAAAGGTTTTGTAGCACCAACGACTTTTTCCTAAGACACTTGAGGGGCCTGTATCACTTTAAAGTATTATCTTGTAAACAAGACCAAAAATATTCAGTTGATCTGTACTTTGAGCATAAATATTTATAAACTCTATTAAAAAACAAATATAGCATGACTAGAGTGACTAATAGTGTAAAATCTAAGTATATTGAAAAATATAAAGATATATAAAAGGCTTCCATAATGCAATCATGCAGAGGTAAACCACTTCATTCATTACATAAAAGTGATTCTGTACAGTTATCTACACATAGCTCCATGAGAATCCTATTTAAGAAAATTAAAAAATTGAGAACCTATCTTTAATCAACATATGAGGATTTAAATACATAACTGACCAATTGGATCTCACAGCAATTTTCAAAAAACACAATGATCTTAATGAGAATCAAATCATCTTGACTTTTGATTCCCACTGGCATATTCAATTTGCTTTAATTTAAAAGCAAAGGGAAAAACCATGACAAAGTTGAAGGTGGTAGTAGATGGTCCACATCCATTAAAAAAACAAAACTTAAGAGCAAGTAGGGTCTCTTCAGAAGATGTTCTTTGGATTCTAATCTAGCAGCTGAACTACTACTTTAGGGGCAGAGAGTCCTTCCTTGAAAATCAAAAGTACCAAACTAATCTGGGAAAATGTTTTTGAATTCCCGGTAGCTAGCTACCTGCTAGTTTGTAAATGCGAATGCCCCCGGCCCCCTCAAAAAAGTCAAGTTTAAAAAAACAAATGCCTTGTTAATAACTATCAGAAGACTTTCACAATATGACTTTTCCCTTAACCATGCCTGTGTAACCAATGTGGATCAAAACAGATAATATTATGTATTTATTACATTCTTTTCATTTTTTATGAAGACAATCACGATGCATATTCAAGGGAAAAATAATGTAGAATAGTCAGCTTTGCACACAAAAAAAGTATGTCTGGATGAACTTAAAAAAAATGGTGAATAGAATCAGTGTAACTTGACTTTTCTAATAAAGACTTGAATGCTCAAATGCCTAAGAATCTATGAAGGAATACTGAGAAAATTTTTTAAAAAGAATATTAAGTGTACTGAGATTTAATCATAGTCTTGGTAATTCTAAGCCACTGTTTATAAATAATTTGTACACATATTTTTAAAAATATGAAATGCTTCACGAATTTGTGTTATCCTTGAGTATGGGCCATGCTAATCTTCTCTGTATCATTCCAATTTTAGTATATGTGCTACCGAACCAAGCACTATGCACTTTTTAAAGCAGCTGAAACTATATAGTCTTTAACAATGTTAGACACATTATACTATTTCCTCTTGCTCATCTTTGATCATCTTTTGATGTTTGATTACAAGTGAAGAAAACAGGAAAAGCTGTGTAAATTGGACATTTAATAGATCTCTTTCAATATTTATAATCCACAGATCATCATTTATTACTCAAAAAGAAAATTATTCTCCTTGTTGATTTTGAAGAGCTAAGAATTAAAAAAAATATTCGGGTAAGTGGTGCTGGCAATGAAGTATATTCATTAAGAAATGGGCAAGCATTACAGTGTGTAAAAATATCTCATTTGTTCAAAATTATTTTAAGTGACTATTGTAATCTCAGAAATATATCTTAAAACCAAGAAAAAATTAAAACCAAACTATGCTTAACTTTTTAATTCATTTTCTTCGTTATAAATTGTTCATGCTATGAACACACACAGTATCATGGCTTTATAGATTTCCCAGACACAATTCTCAATTTGGCTGAGGTTGATGTACTCATATTAGGAAAATAAGAGGCCTTGTTGCTTCTTTAAGGTGTTTAAAAAAATAGTGGCTATAATGTAAGGGGAAAAAACCTTTATGAATAAGGTCACACAGAACACACATTCAGATACTTCTGGACTCGGGTGTACTGTAAAGATAAAATGCTAATTATAGTACATGTAAACATCTATTCAATTGATAAAGGGCAACAAAATGATAGGATGATATTATCATTAACAGTCGTCTCCGGACAGGAACAGGTCTTGCTCTTGTAGTCACAAAACTAAATTCAGGCAATGATGATCTCTCTCTGCTGAAAAAAGAGAAGACTATTAAAAAAAAACTTTGCAAGAAGCAAATAATTCTAAAAATTGAGTCACACCATAAATTGATCTCCAACTTTTCTAAACATTAAAATAATCTTTTTGAGAAAGGAATCATAATCAAAGTTGCAGACAAATTACACAAAGGACTAGCTTTGGACTAAAGTGATTTTAACAAAACTTCTCTGCATCATGCTTCTTTGAAACATCAAGCTTCCAAAACTCACAGCACTATAACATGGTTCTGACTGAAATTTTCAGTTAGGAAATCTAGATCCTTATCAGGTTATATACTCATAGAGGTGTGGGTAGGCAGAGAAAAATTAAAAAAATATGAACTCCAAGGTATTTTAAATAAAAATAAAAATGTTCTTAAAAGTAATTGCAAGGTATAACTAATTTCTTTAAATTCCATTCAATTACCATTTCATTCTTTAAACACTCTGTATGATATAAAATTCTATACTAAGTACTAAGGTCAAAAAGAAATGCATCAAAATGAGACAATGTCTAGTATACCAAGAAAGGCTAACTGGATGATGAGAAGAAAAGTGAATGGATGAAATAAAGAAACAGGAAGAGAGAGACTTAGGAAGGAGTAAATATAAAAATGGGATATGAAATTAAAAGTGCTTTCAATTAATTAAGTAATGAGCACAAAATACTAACAAAGTGCAAGATATTAGGTGTTTTTCTACTAAAGAAGTATGATGTTTTCATTTGAAATTATTGACAATGAGAGTAATGTTCACCAAAATTTCTTTCTTCCTACGACTTTTAGGTAGCTATCTTAGAAGACTGTTTCATTTGATAAGTATATAATGTCAAAGAGAAAAAAATAGAACTATTCTTTTCTAAAAATCGTATACATACCTTAGAACTAGCCAGTTCAAGATGTTAACAAAAATAAGTTTCTAATACATGGGAAAAAGAAATTTTCCTTCTGCCTTACAAATATTTTACAGTGGTGATTTAATTCTACATTAAATTTCCATTTTTAATTTATAGGATTTTAGAAGTTCTGAAAGAAAGCTCAAAAAAGTGAACTAATTTAACAATCATACAGGACATCTGTTTTAAAAGGCTAGCAAACTTTTTATAAAAGGGGGAGAGGCTCATAAATACTTAGGTAAATTCTAGGAGAACTAAATCTAATTTTCTGTAACTAGTCTGTTTTATGTGTAAGGGGAAAAAGAAAATATGGATGGATTAAATCTGTATGATACTCTGAAACAATCATTAATATTTCAACATACCAAACAAGCAACTGCTTTTTTTTTTTTAAGACCTTTATGCCCAATAGTTAGTGTTCCAAATAAGACTGGAAATACAGTGCCCCAAAACCAGTTTTAGTAACAAGATATTTTCTTCTATTAAGTTCAGCTATACTTGTTATAAGTAATCAGCTAAAACAGTGAAGCCTTGTCTTTACACTACTGGTTGTTACATCGGATTATATGACGATAAAACAAAAGTTATGGAATATTCTCCATTCCTGCATCATAGTTTCATTAAATGTATGGGCATCAATTAAATACTTAATTTTTAAAATGTTACAATTATCCAATAACACTTAAAACAACAACTGCTTAGAGACATAAAATACTGAAATATGTAAAATGACAACTCAACCATCCCTTGAGGTAATCCTAATCAATCTTTTAACCAGTAATATATAATTTTCCTGTTTTTTCTTATAAGCAGATAACCTACATTGCCCTTAATCCTTTCCCATCCCCAACTCTGCCTGCAACAGCTCATATATGTACAGTAAAGCAAAAAATTTGTTAGTTGAATTATAGAATTTAAAAATGTTTCTACTTTTAGGTAGCATATTGTAAAAAAAAGAAAGTAAACTGAAATGAATAGAGGATTTAAATCCATATTTGCATATGAAGAGACTTTTTGCATTACAGGCAGATATTTTTATTTTTAAACCTTGAGTTTAGAAACAAAAAGAAAAGTTATAATAGGGAAATGGAAGTTGCTAGTGAATAGAGAAGTTAATTTTTACTTATTAGTAGGTTGAATGGAATTTGGGAAGTCTACATATAAAACTGTACCAACAGATATTATATGTATTATCAAAATGACATCTAAGTTGTTTCCACTGATGATAGAAACAACAGCAACAACAGACATAAAGAACTGATTTATGTATATTAAATTGTTTTGGAACACTAAAATAGCACCAAAGAAACTACACGTTTGAAAGGGATCTTAGAGTTCATCTAGTCCAACCCCTTTCATTTTACAGACAAGGAAACAACTCTGGATAAGGTAAGAGACTTGTCTAAGGCCACAGTTAATTGCAGAGCTGAGACCAGAAACTGTTATCTCTTAACACTTGTCCAATTTTCTATACTAGGTCACCTTTGGATATAAAAAATTAGTGGGATGGACTAGATTGGTGATTCTCAGTATTTGCAATCACATTCTCTAATAGAAACTCAAAGGCTATATTACCTCTGAAATTATAACATTTAACACTCCCAAATATTAATGCCTTACTAATTATTGTGGAAATTTCACTAAGACTATAAGTATAGACCCTCTAAAGAGAAGTTTAACTGTATCCACTGTTTAGCAAAATGGTCTCAGTGACTGAAAAGACCATCAAAAGAAATTTTTGTAAAATTGATAAGAATTAACAAGGGAGGTAATTGTCACCCCATTACTGGAGATTTAAATATGCATTCATTCACTATATTATCCAACAAACATTTGAGTGCCCACATGAGCCAGGCTTTATGATAAGCAGTAGAGATAAAAAGATGAATAAGACATGGTCCCCTTCCTAGAGGAGCTTGTAACATATAAACCAGATAAATTATATTACAACATAAGTATTGTAACAAAGATATGAACAAAGTGCTGCATTAAAAGGGAGGGTAAAAGTATGAACTTCCTGATGACAAATAAATATTAATTTTGTGCAGTATCTCTGAGACAAGAACTACCACATTTACTATAAACACAATCTCATGACTTATCAATAATTAGGAAAGAAGTAGTAATGTAGTTTAAATTTTTGGGGGGCTGGCACAGGTGGGGACGCCTGTAATCCCAGTTACTCGTGAGGCTGAGGCAGAAGGATCCCAAGTTTAAGGCCAGTTTCAGCAACTTAGTTTGGCCTTCAGCAACTTAGAGCTAGTCTCAAAAACAAAACAAAACAACAACAAAAAAGGTAGGGGGTGGGGGTTGGGAGGAATCTGGGGATGTAGCTCAGTGGTGAAGCACTCCTGGGTTCAATCCCCAGTACCAAAAACAAAACACAAAAAGTTGGCACTGAATCAGAATGCTTATATTCAAATCTAGTCCTTCCACTCATGAGCCATGACTTTGGGTAAATCACTCCATTTCTATTAGCCTAAGTTTCCTTATCTGTAAAATGGGAATTAATGACTACTTAAAATTAATGAATACTTTAAATAAAAGAACATGTAAAAAGTACAACACAGAGAATGAGTATTTAGAAACATACCCATAAAAATCCATAATAAGTAATATTTATAATTAAAACCATACTAATGTCTATAAAAGTATAATTTCTGAACCTAATGAATGTTGGTAATATTTAATCCTCATACTATCAGATCAAACTGAAACACACTTGTCTTCTGATTCATTTAAAGCAACATGGTTAAAACATTTAAAATTCTAGGTTACTAGGAAATTTAGGCTAGGTGTTTCTGGTTAGCTGTTTATGGGCTGAAATAAACAAAGCAGGTAATTTCAGGTACATTATAAGGGAATTTTACAGTAATTTTTTAAACATTGGGTGAAAATTTACTAATCAAATTATAAAGCCAAAAATCAGCATGGAGATTTAACTGGCCTTTGAAAGATTTACTTTCTTTATAATACCTGTTTGGTGTAAAGAGAAGAAACGTGAGCCTCTGCCAATTTGGCACCTTTCACGACTACTAAAAAGAAAAGAAAAGAAACTTACCTAATGAATCAAAATAGCACATAGTCAACATACAAAAGACTACATAAAAGTATATAATAGATATAAGTAAAGTTTTTGGTAAAGTAAGTATTTTTGACAACTGAAATCTGAGTGTGTAATTTTAAATATAAGCAACTGCAAGTCAAAACATTCCTACAAAATAGTATTAACATCAAGAAAGTACAACTTCAACCCAAAGTATATGGGGAAGTTAA